TAAGGCTCTGTGGTGTGATGGCTGCTTTTGGGTGGCGAGAGGTGCAGATCTCTCCCAGGGCAGCGAGGCAGCAGGTTCGGCACCTCCCGGCCGAGGCCGTGGTGGGTGGTTGGCTTCATCACCGCGAGCTGCGCCAGAGGAACCGGCTCTCCTCTTCCTGCCCGCCCTGCGAGCGTCACCCCACCCCAGTGGATGCTCCGCGCCGCCGGCAGCTGCCCTCTGCTCTGCTTTCCATGTCGGTCTGTGGCTCACCCTTCGGCCAGGTACTGTCTGGATAAAGGCAAAGTTGTCTGAGCATCCCATGTGGCTGCGGGAAAACCGCCTGGAGTTGCCCTTTGGACATAGCCAGAGCTTGTGGGAGGTGGATGGGGCTCTGCGTCGTCGAAGGCATCCTGGGGTTGCTCTAATGCTGTCACATAGCGTGAGTTTGGACAGATCTGCTTGGGCAAGGGAAGTTTTTGCTCTGAGCTCTTAGTGCTGAGCGTTGCATTTTCCTCCTTTGCTGAGCTCCCTGGTGTGAAGCAATGCGAGGCTCCAGCTCCATCCTAGTGCAGTAACACCCCCCTGGACCTGCCTCCCACAGCAGCTTCAAGCAGGTTTATTTTAAGCCTCGCTTTAGCAGGGCCGTTCCAATGCAGGTGTGATGGGTTTATTTCAGACATCCCTTTTATTTAGGCTTGCACCTCTCTGGGCATTTGCTTGGTTTTAGCAGGAGCTTGTTTTGGGTTGGCTTTAAAAAGCACTGCTGTGTGTTCATGTGTTGGTGGGTGGAACCAGGCTGCCCACGCTGCCTGGCTCGAATTCCTACCTTTCAGCTATTTTGGTTTCAATATCTGAAATTGGACTCTTCTGCTGAAATAAGTATAGCCCACTGGTGGTTTTTTATGACACCGGAAAAGAAATGACCATGCTTGATGTTCAGGGCATGTATTTCAGGTGCTTGGTGCTTTAAATACAGTCACTTGAGCCAAAATTGGAGTGGTTGAGGGCAAAATAGTGTTTGCTGAGGGGTGTGAGCCAGGCTGAGGTGAGACAGGGCTTCATGCCTGCAATACTGGGTTAAGGCTGCTCGCTGCTGACCCAGTTTCGTGTTCTTTGTGTCTCCTGTTTGGGTTTCACTGGTACTTTGTCCCTGATGTGGCACTTGGATTTGCGTGCTGCCTGTCACACTGGGGATGGATGGTGCTGGGGTGCAGTGGGATGCTTGGGATGGTCCAGCTGGGAGGGCTACAGCGCTGTGACTTGTGTTAGAAAGAGGTTTTGCTTGTGGGTTGAGTATTTGGCTGTACATAGAGGGAAGCATAGGGGGAATACAGGTCTCCAAGCAGCTCCACTGCATCACCACTGAGGGTGCTGCCTTGGGTTGGCAGTACCCAGAACTGGGGAAGCTGTGTCCTGCCTTCATCGTCCTCCTCTTCCCTGTTACTGAGTGATGGAGACTATGCACAATATCTTCTCAAGCATCAGAGCTGGTTGCTCAGGGCTCACATAGGAGTTTGGGGACCCCCCTTCATTCCTACAGTGACCCATTGAAGGCACTTCCCAGCTCTCTGCTGGGTCACCTTTAGTTAGTTACTTGGAATTCTGCCTTTTCCCTTACCAACCAGAAGGGAAATTAGGGCAAGGCCATTGCAGGTGTCCCTGCCAAGGCCACACGAGTGACTGTGGCCACATCCCAGCACCATGGGGAGCAGTGGGAGCCTCGACTCCAAAGTCCTCCCCTTGCGTGGGCACGCGGTGCGTCACGGGCACCTTTGGGTGGGGGCACAGGGCGGGTGGATGCCGGGGTGTGCCGGGGGAGTGGCGGAGCACGGCTCATCCCACCGGGCACGGGTTGGCCACAGAGCCGGTGCCGGGGCACCATGGGGGCCATGGGCGAGCAGGGCATCAGCACCCAGGTGAGCAGCGGGGTGACACTGAACCCAGCGGGGGCTGTGGGGTGTCCTTGTGTGCCAGCAAAGCCCCTGGTGTGGGTGAGGCTGG